GGCAGGGGTTGCCCAGAGCGGTGGGAGATGCCCCATCCCTGGAAACATTCAAGGCCGGGCGGGACGGGGCTGGGTGGGCTGGAAAGGCCCCTGCCATCCCAAAGCATTCTGTCATTCTGTGACTGACAAAAACGTGAGCTGTTTACTTGTCCAGCAAGGCGAAACGTCATCATCCCTATTTTACAGATGGAGTGCATTTCTTAAACAGGGATCTGGAAAGAATGAAGATCCCCTGAGCCTTAGGGCTACTGTTTTATCCACAAAACCACACAAAAGGTTTAAAGTCCAAACAGACTAAAACCAGCTTCAACCTTGGAGTCACTGGCACTCTCTGAGCTTTGGTACAGGCTTCTCGTGGTGCGAAGCTGCCAGCTGTAACAGCAACGCCTAGGTGGGACCCCCTCAGCTACCAGCGGGCCGCGGGGCTGGAGGGACACGGCACATGGCTGCTGTTTTTTCACTACCACGCAAATAGCAGGTATTCTCCCCGGTTCATGGGGACATCCTGAGTAACCAGGATAACGGGACACCAACCAACCTATATTCAAATTCTCCAAACGGGACACGGAACAAAACATTGCAATTCTATGCAGGAACGGCCGTTCGGATTCAAGGAGCTGTGCAAAGCCCGACGCTTCACGGCCCAGGACTGAGATGCGGGAAGCCCCAGTTTAACTCCCGGCACCGCCCCGCTGTGCAAAGCCATCACAGCAAGACACTCGCGCGCACCTCGCCCGCCTCTTCCCCTGCGGAATTTCGGCAGCAATATCAGAATACTGAAAAGGGCACCCGAGAGCCCCCACTGTACCATCGGTCTGTAACCGAGATTTCGGTTTGGCAATGTTTTTATTTTCAAAGCACATGCAACAGCAAATTCCTAAAGGCAGTAAAATGACAGGAGATGACTTCATCCATGCCTGATACACGGCCATTTTGAAGCACAGCAGAGACCACCTTCTAAGTCAAAAAAGCTTTTTTTTTTTTTTTTTTTTTTTTTTTTTTTTTTTTTTTTTTTTTTTTTTTTTTTTAAATAAGGTATTTCTTACCTTTAAATCCCAGATCCACTCATTCTAAAACCATGGTCTCTCTCCAGGCCAGACCAACGGGCGGGGAGATGTTGGTGCAACTCTGTGACCTGCATTTTGCAGACACTCAGGGATGATTATAAAGCTCCTGTCTGGCCGTAAAACCCGTGAATGTTACACGTTTTGGCCCAAGAAATGAAGATGACTGCTCTTCAAAACTGAACCACAGGCATCTCCTTGGGACCTTTAATCAAAACTGAGTTTGTCAGGACAGCACCCCGTCCTTGCAGGACATCCTAAAGCCTGGCTCTATAACGACTTAGGAGAAAACCACAACCCTCCTGCTTCAGCACCACTTTCTGCCTCTGAGAGCAACATCTGTGGGTTTTGTGAGCCATCTGCTCTTTTCAGGTTCCTCTCCCAGCTAAAGGTTGACCAAATTCTTCGGTTTTGCACAAACCCTTTCCACTCACACGCCACTCGGTTTCAGTGTGCTTTTTGCACAATAACCCCGTATTTCACAAGCCGTCCTTGCTCTTGCAGTGATCAACAATATTGTTGCTGCAAGAAATGCCACAAAACTATCAAATACCTTTGCAATTAACTGACCTGTACCAGAGTTTCAATCATAAGTGAATTGTTTAGAACAGATTTTGAGCATTCATCTCTCTTTTTGTACAGTACACACTTTATTGCAGAGAAGACCGGATGCATTTTTAAAACAAATTCAGGAGTTGCACAGTTTCCAGACTTTTCCACGAAGTGTTGCCCACAGTAACTTGAGTACAGCAGAGTCCGCCAGACAAAGAAGAAGAGGGAACTCAATCCTGTCATCTGCAATCACTTGAGAGAGTCAGAAAATCTCGCAACCGCTTATTGAAGAGCCAGGTAAACCAGGTGGCTCTGCTCCCGCGAGCACCTCCGCCAGCAGAACAGAGCTTAACCGTGTCACTCCTGATTTACACCAGTGTAACCAAGACCAGAAGTTGGGCTTGCATCACGAAAGCAGCCAGTGAAGATTTTATGTCAGCGTGATACGCATGTGGTGGCGGATTTGTGACGTTTCCCGCAGGGCTCAATTCGGGATCAGATTAGAGCCAGCGTCTCCCATTTCAGGTACTCCCGTATCTTTGGATCGATGCACAACGGTGCTGCCCAGTCCCTCTCCGCATGGGAAAGAAATCTTGGCATGAAAACGCATCAAGTCATAACAGGCACTACCTACCACAATAAACTATAACAGAGTCCGTGTCTACCCTGGGCGCTGCTGTGTTTGGAAGCATCCCAGCGGGTCCCAGCCGGCCCCAGGGAGGCTGAGGGTTAGCCGCAGCCCGTACTGGCATCACGAGCACATCAGGCTGTGGCTAGAAATACGCTTCGGTGTATCAGTTAACAAAGATAATGCATTTTCCTAGTGAGACCGTCCACAGTAATTGCTTTTGAGAGACATTGGCTGCAATTTCAACATTATAATATTAGATAAAAGTCCCCAATTTTTTTTTCTGCCAAATGTGTTTCCTCACCAATGACATACCCCGAGCGAGGCCTTCGCGCTGAGCCACCACGGTGTGATATTAAATACAGATCAAACTCTTGATGCAAGCACAGAGCTCGTCCGAGGAGACTGAATGGGCTGGCAGAGAACACATCAGCATAGAAAAACCTTAAAACTACCAGACTCTGAGATCTGGTTCTCACTCCTACACCTTTTCAAAGTTTCACTGACATAAACAGTAATGGCAATTTTTACCAGCGAAGATCTGACACACAGGGCTCAAACTCTAATGACATAAAACCACACGGGAGTCAGAAATTCCCCGTGAGGGATGTACAGCAGAATGGCTCAGAGTGTGTTCAAGGTACGTGCTACAGAAGAGCTGCTCATCTGGAGGCTGTTTTGTGTTTAAATGCTTATGTGTGTGTGCTGAAAGACAGCTTTCTTTACTCCTTTAGCATTGTGCCCGCTGTATGAAAGATAAAAATGTACTGGGGTGAATGGGAACCTTGGGAAAAGCAACTGATTGAAAAAAGCCTCAGAAACTCAAGGCTTCTGCGTAATATCAGAGCAGGGGTGGCACGGATCGAGACAAGAAGAGTTCACCCAACCCACCATGTGCCTCAAAGCTTAATTTGGAAAGGATGCTTGGGGAGCAGGGGCGATAAATCATTCACCTGTCGCTTCCCGGCGGCTTCGCCGAGGCTGCCAGTGCTGGCGGCTAGTGAGTGTGCGCATGTGACTCGCTAACTGAAAACCTACCCACGAGACGAGAGACCACAACTCCCGGAGACTTTGGAAGGCCATCCCAAAGTGATGTGCTTCTGACATAGGCTAAATTTGAATCTGTGATGAGTGAGTGAGCCTGAGGCCCGTGAATGCTTTAAGCTCTCACGTCTATTCCCTTTCGGAAGAAAAGAGAAAATTATCACATAAAGTGGTCGCTAGGCACAAATGATTCTTCTTCAAACAAATCCCCACAGGTTTCCCCCTTGTAATTACTAAAACATACTACCTGATGCGTCACGAGGACGACAAGTAATTGACATTTAAGGCAATCTAATTTCCATAGCCCTCCCATGATTTCCCCCGAGCAGATCGCCTTTGTCTTCCTTCTCTAGGAACGACTTCTTGCACGTGAACATGACGAGCAGCAGCATTGGCAAATGCCACAGACTGCAGAAGAAAAGCTTCCTGGAGCTGCTGCGGTCTGCATCCCTGTAGAACCGAAAGCCGAGGTAGGAGATGTAGAGGTTAATAGGAAGCGAAATGATGGGGAAAGTCCACGTGGTGATGTCGAGAACAGGAGCCACCGTTGAGAGTCCGATTAAGGCCAAGCAGTGACGCAGAGCCACCCGCCTGCACAGCGCCGGGTGGGTGACGGACATCATACAGTATCCTCCTCGGGAGTAATCCTCCCGCAGCCCCCAGCTCAGGGCGTTGAAGTGAGGGAACTGCCAGGAATAGAGGATTCCTCCTAACAGTAACGCACCTGCAGCGGGAGAGAGAGAAGGAAACATGCGTTAGAAGAAGTGCAAGCGGTGCTACGTAAAGAGCTCTGCAGATCCGGGCTGTATTTGCGAAAGAGCAGCGCTACGAACCTGTTACAGCGCACTGCGCAGAAGACCAGGCACGCTCTGTAAGGTAAGGCATGCTCTGCTTGCTGTTAACGGCATTTACACAGGGTTGCGCAGGGTGGTTCTTCTGTTTTTGGAGCACTTGAAAAGCATTTCAACAAGTCACTTCCTCCTAATGAACCATCGCTAATTGGTTTCTGCACCAATTCAGTCTCTACCTGAGGGAAGATTGATGGAAATGAAGCAAAGTTGGGCAAGAGTCTGTTCTCCTGGGAGCCTCCAGCTTCCACTCCCGGGTTCCCAGTGGGTGCGTCCAGAGCAGCGTCACACTGGCCAGAAGCAGGGAGCCCTGCTCAAGAACAGCGGAAAAGGAGGATAAGCTGCTTCCTCCTGGGAACTGGGAAAATACCAGCTCCTGGTAGCCTGGAGCATGGCTGAGCTTTGTGTTTGCCCATTGCCTGAAGGGCGGGAATTGCTCATGGCACGGAGCGCCTTGATCTCGGACCTCGGGCAGGCGGCAGAACTGGCAGGAGCTGCTAATGAGGTGACAGAAGATGGAGAACTTTTTACTCCTTCCAGTCAATTGTAGGAACTTCTAAGGAGTTTGATCAAGTAACTTTATTCACAGCAATTAGCCACTTTTACATTTAAAAAGGAGCTGTGGAAGCACCACATTTTTCACAGCTATCCTCGGGACGTGGCACAGGGCTTATCGAGGCAGAAGCAGCTTTAATGCTGATTTCAGCAAGCTTCAAGGAGGCCCTCGGACTAAATTCCCTTCACTAATTTTGTCTGAAGACACAAAAAATCCCCCAAGGCTGTTGCACATTATGAGCATTCCTGGATTTTCCTTTTGTTTCCCCAGCTCCCAAACACTCCGCTCCGGCATTAACACTTTCTTTGCATCTCCCTGCCTCCATGAGCCCATTCTCTACGGAAACTACTTCTCAAGTGGAGCCGTGAGTCTATCATTTTCTTAATGACTTGATAGAACCAGAAACAGCAACGCTTATCTGCACACAGGTTCATGCATTTAAATTCTTCCCCAAACACTCACTTCTGCCCCAGCGACTGCTCGGGCGCTAGCAAAGACCAAGTCGCTCTCTCCTCTGAACAGCTTCACGGTTCACGGCTTCTCTCCATCCGCTCTGGCTGTACCTTCCTTGGGGCTGCTGTTGCCTTAAACAGCACACCTTACACTGCTGCTGTCATGCAAATAATCATAATGATCTACGTTTGCAAAAGAGCCTTTTTTTTTGCCCTACCTTATCAACCAGTGAAGGAACAGCCCATTAGACTTAATGAGCTTTTCCAGTTGCGTAGAAGATCCAGTAGCGGTATAACAGACCCGCCTCATGGTTTTTTTAAAATGAGTAGCAAATACTCCATTAGGTGAGTACATGCTCTGAAAGCTGATTACAGGAAGAATGGAGATAGACGCTCATGCATGGGGCACGCAGCTTTCAGAACACCATTGCCCGCTGTGAATTACAGGTGATTTCCTGGACGCGGCCCAAAACGCTTGCAACTCCTGCCGTCCCGTCCTACTGAAGCCGATGTTCGGGGTGCGGATGCTTAGCCCCTTCTCTCAGTCGGAACTTTTAAAGATGGTTCAAAATGCTGCACCCCGAAATTACAATTCATTTCAGAAAATCATGGCAACAAAAGTAATTTTGGCCCTAAGAAAACAGGATTTGATTCAGAAACCCAAGGGAGTGGCTCTACTGAAATAAACTGAAATAAAACTTAATCAAGGAGCAGTACTCCCTACACCAGGAGAAACAATGGGGAAAATGTTCTTGTAATATGTTGTTCTTCAGCTTTTTCCTATTCTTGTAAAACATATTACTGGAGGCAAGATCCTGAATTTGATAAACCTAAGATAGGAATATTTTTCACGTTTCATATCTGAAATGCCTTAGAGACATTAGCCTGTCATTTTTCAAAACTTAGGGGAAGGTAAGCTACAATTACCCATCAGCTGAGGGAACTCAGGCAGCTGGAGCCGGGGCCAGGGTTCAGAGGCAGGGGCCGTCCCCGCTTCCCAGGGCCACGGACCAGCCGGCCTTTCAGCTGCCGTGCGCCGCGTCCCCGTGTTCCGGCTGTAACGCGGGCTTTGCTTATTCAATTGCTCAAACGTGCGCAGCCAAGCTCAAAACACACCCTAAACCTCAAACACACAAAAACCTTTAACAATTCTCTAACTATGACACCATTAAAAAAAAAAGTCATCTGGAGAAACTTGTAAACACAAACAGACCAACTAAACTACTTGAGGCTGGATTCCCATTTACAAAGCTCTGGTTTTTACATGCAAGCCTTTGGAATTTAATTACTTTGATTACATTACAACCATTGAGATAATTGATATTTTACAGAGAAGCTGAACAGTAAAACAATTTAATAGCCCATTATGAGGATTTTAACTGACCCGATCTTTTTGTTCAGGTTCCCATGTGCCTCGGCCATCCTGCAATTTCCTCTGCCCAGGCTGAGACTGTCAGGTTGTCAGAGGTTTTTAAGTGTCGCGTATGACTGATGACTGGCAAAGCACAGCACATGGTACAGCACCATTCAGCATCAAATGAGCCCACAGTAGGAATCCTGTCAAGCCCAGCGCAGACACTGTAATACTCATTAATTACTAGATGAATGTTAACTTTGTCATAATTAGGTCAGCAATGTTTTTAAGCAATATTACAGTGAGAGTAACTCTGGAGACTAACCTGGTTCAAAATAGCGCGGAGTCTACTCTGCTGCTCCTGTGCAGTTCCCAACAGCTTGGGAACGCAGTTTAATCAATGCAAATCCCCTTTTTCTCTATGGGGTTTATAATGAAGTGAAGACCAGACGAGGTCGTTCACAACTGTAACACGTGGAGCTGGCACAGAGTTTGCAAAAGCGAAGCCGGCCGTCGGAGCAGAGCCGTCGCGCTCGCTTTGGCAGCGGGAGCCAGCCAGCACCGGGGGATGCCGCAGCCCTCGGGCTCCTCGGCTCCTCCGCGGCACGTGGAAAACCGGAGCACGGGCAGGCCGATAAAAATCCGTATTAGATCTCTCAGCTTTTCTGCAACTGTTTATAAACTGCAAGACCACAAGTACCTGGCTCGTGGATACCCCAAACTCCTTGGCCTTTTGGGCTAAATTTTTAATAGCTGCATTTTTAGCCCATTTATGACCCCTTCCAAACTCTTCACTTCTCCAGGTGTGAGAATGGGGGACAGCTGCGAGCAGACACTTACGAATCCTGACAACTTGGCACAGGAGTCCTGTTTGATTTTGGAAAAAAAATGAAGTCTCTTTAGGCAAACAGGACCTAGGTCTCCAGTATTCTTCCACTGCTGTGTGCAAAACAGGTATAAAACATTTTCTTGTTGAGCTCCTATGTTTAATCACTTTGTACTAGCTTAAAGCATCTCAAAAGTTACAGGATTGCAGAGAACCAGGTGGGTCCTACAGCATCCACAGAGTTAAGGATACATAACAGATTTTACAATTCTTCATTAATTTTAAGGTTAAGCTATTATTTCTTTTCTTAAATTCTTTTAGAAGTATTTAAATAGTAATAACATATCTTCTTTTTAATAAACAAGAACAAGCTGAGATTTTTATTTTATTTTAATATCTAAGATAAAGCCAAAATGTCAACTGGCATTGAAAAAGATGGAATATGATTCTTTCTTTCTGTAAATATATTTTTATCTAGTGAAATACAGAAGCTTTATAAATTGCACTTTTCCTAAACCAAACAAGACCCACAGTCATTCGGAAACTGCTGGGCAAGACGTTTTAAGGACTCGCGGCCTGTGAAGGATACGGACTCTGTTCACATCTATACATCATCTCCTCAAGAACGAGGAGGCACACTGAGCCGCTAACAGTGCCAGCAGAAATCGTGCCGGTAGCATCGTTCTGAGCAAACCGTTTCATTCGCGTAAAGCAACGTGGGGACTGCAAATCTGTCTTCTCGTCCACTAAAGGGCAGAAGTAAATGTTTGGCTCCTGTTTGACTGCCTCGTGCTGGGGATGCCACTCTCTTCAGCAGCAATTTGAAATATGCCTCTTTCATGCTGGCAATACCTTTCATCATCAAAGAGCTTTATACATTGTGCAGTTGGCACATGGAGCAGTAGCGATGATTTCACCCACAGATGAATTATTTCAGCTGAATTATTTCAGCTGCCTGCCTTCAACAAGGCACAAGAGTTTGGGATGATCCAATTGAAACTCCCCAAAAAAATTTCTGAAGGCAAGTTCTTCCAGGGCAGAAAAGGACTTGAGCTACAAGAGAGCAGAGGCTGGAGCAGAGCGCGTGTTGGTGGGAGCACCGGCCTCGGGAGCGGGGCCAGCTGGAGTCCAACCAGCCCGGGCAGGCGGAGGAGCGTGGGCCTGTCTGCACAAGCCGAGGCAAACGTGTCCCAGGTTATCTACGGAGCCTGCTGCATCAACATCGTGTTCCTGAAAACACGCTGGAGGTGAACAACTTATTCTTTCTTATCCTTCTCGTTGTTCTTTAGACAACATGCAGTGCCTTCCCTCTACACAGTGTTCTGCAAACCTCTGGTACCACTTTCAAGCTCTAGACAGGACAAACACCTATTTATTTGATCAATAAAACAAAAAAAATAAGGCAGGGGGAGCTGATCTGTAGCATCAATTCAGGAACGGACTCGCTCCTTCTGTCTTTGCCTTGCTGCTGCATATGTATGACTGGGAAGTGGCCAACCAGGCATTAAAATAAACATGGAATGGTTAAAATATCAGCTCCAAAACAGATGTTGAAATCTTACTGCATTTCCCAAAGCTGGTGTTTACTGCCTTGGCAACCTAAGAATGCTGTTTTGCTTAAAGCACAATTTTAGTAATTCTTCTGCCTTAAATAATGCGAAGGAATTTTAAAATTATTTCCAGACCCT